TCAGACTGAATTTGGAGAGCTGCAGCAGGGAGCTGGAGCAGCTGTTTTCAGGACTGTGATCTCCCTGGCAGCACTCATGAATGGTGGGAATAATCTTGGAGAAGCTGTGAGCTCGACTTTTGACGTAAAGGCTCAATTCGGCTGTTTTTGGAGTTTCATCAGAGGAATATATACCAGCGAGACTTTAAAAGGCAGAAACAACAATTCACGAGTTCTGCCTGACCCAAATTGTGGCCTTGACGCCAGACTTATCTCAACTCCTCCTGGAATGTTTTGAAAACAACAAAGATGCTGTTTCCTCACCCCTCCCTTCCCCAAGGCCGTGGACATGTAACAGAGCCTCAACTGAGCTGATGATGAATGTCACCTCTTATCTGGACAATGGCTGGGGGGAAGGGGGGGGGGGGTGGACAATGCTACGACTTTCCCTTAAAAATTCAATGTTTTCACCGGCCTATATGTACTGTACATGTATAACGTCTGTTTATGTTGCTTTGCTGTGGTAGGATTTTTTGATGCCTCAAATCGTGCCGTGTCTAGGACACGGTGTGAGAGATCTTTTTTTTTATACCGTCTCTCCTCATGTTTTCTTTCCTTTTCTCATCTAAGCAAAATATTATTCTGAATAAGAATAAGAGGGCCATGCTATTTAATAGCCACAGCTTCGTGCACTCCGCCCGTCTTTTGGATGACTGTACGTACATATTCTCGTTGTACCTCGGTGCAATGCCAATAAAGTTTATTCTGATTGATAAGGAGAGAGAGGTATATAAAAAAAAGATCTCACACCATGTCCTTGACAGGGCACGGTTTGAGGCATAAAAAAAATCTATCACAACAAAGCAACATAAATAGACATAATAGAAATGCATGTGGACTGGGTAGGGGGTGTGGGTCCCAGCACAGCCACCAGGCGAGGGACGCAGCCCTTGGCACCTTCACATCTCCTAGGTTGCTGCACCAGGTGAGGAGAGGGAGTCCAGTGGAGGCAATGAGTTTGAGAGAAGGTCGTAGCACAGCACAGTCCAGAGCCCCCCATAGCCATAGTCCTGATAAAGGTTTTTGTTTATCAGCCAGCTCGGCTGAGCTCTGTTGCAGGTCCATGACCAGAGTAGATAATCCAAAGCAAGCAGCGGATGGTCAAGATGGGTAATCTGTAAGACAGGCATGAAGTCTGAACCAGGAAGACAAACAAAACTTTGGCATGGATGCTGGACATTTACTTACTGTGAGGTTTTCAATAATCTGGCTCTGAGTAGTGTGGCTGTGGGGTTTAAAGACAGGTGACAACAGGTGAGCTGCATGAGGGCTGATTGTGGTGACTCAGCTGAGTGGGCGTGGTTACATGAGCAGACTGAGGTGCAGGTTGACAGGAGCTAAGATGAAAACAAACATGAACATGACCTATGGCAGGCAGAGCAGAAAACGTGACAAGTACATTCTCTCATGGCGACCAAACAGACACATTTGATTACTTACACCAAGTTGAGCTTACAACTCCTCCAAGATTTATTCATTCCATTCTGTTCATGGACACTGCCCAGAAAGTTCCGATACAGCACCACATAGTTCGCACATAGTTTTGAGTGCTGCCAAGCTCGGCACATTCTCCACATTCCAGGCAGCTTTAAACAGCTGCTGATGTTTATTTGTC